CCATTGATTTGAACTGGAAATCAGAGGAACGAAATGACACGTAGCGGATAAGGCGAGTAATACAACTCAATTTAATCAAAAATTACTCAGTATTGATATTCAGATCAAAAATAAGTTACCGACATATAATGAGTGGGGTAAGCAATTAACATACATACGTCATACAAAAACAGTCAAGGTTAATAAGCCAATAAGTGACAAGGTCAAAATGTCCGAAAACTTGAATAAAACTTGCGTGTAGCAGTGCGTTTATGAGCGATAACCAATGGGTCATGCCATATATGCTCACAAACCAGAACGGGATGTCAAAGGACAAGTTATCATTATATAAACATCAGTTTTACAATCAGTTATGGTAATTGCACAAATTAGGAGAATCGATGAAAAAATGCAAATAATAATGGAAGCGCATTGTATTTTGGTCATCGGGATGATCTATAGGCAACTGACAATTATCACTTTTCAATGCCCAATATCTTTGTCATATGCTTGATTTTTTTACTCTATCTTCTCTTGTTTCCACACGGTCCAAGATATCCTGTAGCTCAGAAAGAATAATCTCAAGCGTTGGGGTCTACGCGGATAAAGTTTGTGTTTTATTTCTATCACCCACTTAGTTCTCTGTCTCCGTGCTTGATCTAAGGACTCCGTCTATTTTGAAGCGAGAGGGAGCAACAACATTGTTCATTTCGAGGTGGAGTTGTGCTTGCGTTTGAAAGAAAGTCAAAAGCGACCGTGGGGTTTTTTCGCACAAAGTGAAGAGCTGAGTTTTTTGGCCGCATCCTCAAGTAATTTGAGCTGTAGTGTAAGCTTCAAACTCTGCACACCATGGTGACATGAGCAGGGTTGTTGAATTCTCGATACCTGAGGGTGTTTAGAATAAATTGGCGTACACCATACAGCAGACATTGGTCAGCAGTAGGCAATTCCAGAAGTTGTCGGAAATGTTCCACTTAATCATTATCAGCTTTGTTTGGCTAACCGTCACCTACATCACTCGAGACCAGATAGAGCGTAACATCCTTGACCACATTCACAGTTACTGAAAACGCGTTGATCGTGTCAGAAATAACACGTTTTATTTCTGCTTCAGTCGACGCTGTCATTATGAGGCAATGATCGCCAGTATACGTCCATAATTTGCTGAAATATGGCTGGAACTGACTTGACTTCAAATGATAGGCGAGTATATTGGTAGAGACCTCGATGTGTACTAATAATAACTACTACTATAAATACTTCATCTGCATCTGTCTGTTCATATCTAGGTGCCTTGCTACTCTTCTATTTCTCTTTTTTCCTTCTTCAGAATCTTACTCCGAGGGGATAGCTATGGAACTTCTGACGTCTGGAACAAAGCTGACGTACGTGTCTCCCCAAAGTAATAGTTTACAGCAAGAGCTCCACGAGTGTACCTTATGACAACTATAAAGTTAATAAGTCTGGAACCATGCTGTGAGCCAACAAACGTTGTAGTTTTTAGATCATGCCTGCAAAAATGGAGTGTACCTGCTCATTCAGAAATATATAATAATAATATTATTATTATATGGCTTCTACAGCATTCGTGTTGCTCTGTAGTAGTCGTTGTGGTAGAACGCGTTGCCTGAATGTTAGGGTCGATTTTTCTTTTCTCATCAATAAGTTCTTAGGATAACTTAAAATAGTAGGATTTTCATGTTCAACCCAACTGGAGTACAAATTTAATCCAAAAACAGTATTAATGGACCAAATACATCATTTTTGATCAACTTCTGTCGTAACACTGCCTTCAAAAAGGGTTGAAACTTACTGAGATACACATTCTAAAGAAATAGTGGTTAAATAATATCTTACTCGCTGTAGAATTTCCTATAGAATTTGAACTCCGAATGAAATATTGTTGGGACACTAAAAGTTTGTACATGAAGCATTGTTGATGTTAAGGCTGTCGTCGTTACTATTACTACTGCTCATAACAATCTGAAATAGGCTGATTTGTGCACAAACATTACTATTCATGAATTAATAAATACTTCCTTTAGACCTGACTGCCGTGAACTGAATATAAATTGTGATGTAGGTCAACCCATCCTATTTTATTCTATTAATGAAACGGAATTCGCAAACAACGGTTAATCCTATAGGATTATATTTCAAAGCTCATAGCTGTCGGCAGTTATCTTTAATATTAATAAAACTTTTATGGTTATTATAATCTAAATTCGTAAGAAATGGAAAGGTACATTCATTTGGTGTGATATTCGAACTGTTTGGCCATAATCCCGTGTTTCGTTCACTTGCTAAAATGTCAAGTTTCATATCACTGCTCTCACGAAATGGTGTAAATTATGTAATGCGATGAACGCATACTATGGAATATCTTAATTTTATCAACACAGTTCATTCGACCAGATATCGTAACAGTACGGTAAATTTTATGGGAATAATGCTAATCAACGATAATCTTAGGTTCAAAAACAAAGTTTGGAAACCTAAATGAGTATGAAGAACTATACATCTTAGTTATTATGTGGTTGGCTAATGTTAATAATAATGTAAGCATAAGTAATTTTGTTCCGAAATGAGCTGAGGTAATAGTCCAGAGTAGGAATTTTGTTGCTAGTCAGAGTACTGTAGTACGTCAAAAACTTAAGGTATATGAAAATAAAAATGTTAAATATGTACAGAAGGTATGTGGAAATTAATTGGAAACCATGTTTTACAATAACATGTCTGTCCTAGAACAAAATTTATAGAACGAATCAGTTTGTTCTCTGAACAATCAATACTGTATCTACTGTCACATAGTACATAGATGTTCTGTGAGTGAACTTCGTCACAGAACGTTCTTCTTGAGTTAATTAAATGGAATGATTACTTGAAGCGTCGTCTAACTAAATTTTATAAATACCTACTTATTTGATATGCTCAACAACCCGTTATCTCTACCAAGGATAACTCTAAACTTATATATAGTTTATTTTTGACTTCCATGTAACCAGGGGTTCACTACTGTCAAATTCGTTATCAGTTTATGAACCAAACTAAGGTTTGTACTGAAGAATAGCTGTTTAGGTGGGTTAGATACGCGCCTTTGCCCGGTTGAAAACAGAAGAAAGTAATTGGGTAAAATGATGGTTCTAAAAAAATATGACAACCCTGCTACTCAAGCAATAATTGTTCAATCAATCAAATCCAAGTTACAATGACAATCATAACAAATAAATGTTGTCCTAGCACGCAAAGATTCGTTCAGAAGTTAATGTTTGGTTGCTTTATAACAATTCCAATTCTGAAAGAGTTCTTCAATTCACAATAAAAAAATACACAATTCCAATCTATACAAGCAACACAATCAAAAGGAGGAACAAATCAATATGGCTGCCGCCAAGACTAAGTACCGAGTAAAACAACATAAATGCAGTTCAGGAAGAAGAATAAAAACTATAATAAAATACAAATATTCACAACTCAAATGGAATCAAAAAGACTAACAATGTACAACCAAAGGAATCAACAGGAACAAACTGCAAGTGTATACATGGAGGGGTTTTCACACACAAAACATTCAACGTGGACCTTACAACCTGTATGAACTGTTAGTAGTTTTATAAAACGCATAACTTCTTGAAAATATCCCAGTGAGTGATAAGAAGAGTACTAGTAATTCTTAATGTACATAACTCATTCCACTGTAGCATGGTAAGTTCAAACAAATTCCGTAAACTTTCACCATCTGATTATCTGGTTTTCTACAGTCTTCATTTCCAGATGGTCTTCTGTATATGACGTTTTCTTGTGAATCATTTATTTGAAAAACCACGCCACCTATTTTATTAAGCCACAAATTTCTTTTTAAAAATAATACATATGATTGAGCTACTAACTTGTTCGTACTTAACACCCTATCGCTATGTCGATAAATAAAAAATCTGCCACAAATGCTCAATCTGCAGCCATTTACGATAATACGTTTATCGGTTCCGTACCATTGTATGGCTTGCGCCTATCAGATGTTTTCAGATTTCGACCATCAGAAAAGGGCGAAATCATTACGTACACAATTTACATGAGAAAACAAGCACATAACTAATCAAACAAGTCAAGTCGAACGAGTAGACTAATTCGAAGTCTCGCCACACATAGCATTCCTGTTGACAGTTGCGCAGTCATGAACTTGTGTTCATCAGACTAGGGCAATCTTGAGAGTGAATAATAGTAAAATGTGAAGGAAATTCAACATAGACGCATTTATTTGGGAATATCCTTATGCTTGAAATGGATAACATTGCACAACCACTAGGATCTATGTATAAACTTTTGTCGAATACTTATGCATGCTAATAAATCATTAGACCCAGTCCATTACAGTGAACTGGCCGTGATCCGACTCTTTAGTCTCCCATATCATACGTCAAAGTCACATCATTATCAATAACTACTTGTCCTTTCGTGGAAGAAAACAACTCAGTTGACGATAGAATAATGGCTTTAACGCTAAAACTGAAAAGTTGTATAGACAGCTCATGCATGCCTAACCGAGCCATGCCGTCTCAGTTAAGTGTTATTGACCTATTTGAAGTGTTCGGTAGCCAATCCAGAACTCAGTTACTGGATCCAACTTCAAGAATCATATGACCAAAAACCGGTGTTATTGCAACAAATAGTAAAAAAGCAAACTAAGTGGTAGATGTGAAATCGATCGTGACCATACAAAACTACGAAGTAGACAGTTGTATCCACCGTTTATATACATAATATTCAATTTAACTTTGAAGCTGTTCTTAATAAGGTGAACTGTGAAAATAAGGGAACGATGATTCTTATTTTAAGAAGGGCTTCGAAACGAAAATTCTTATGTTCTTAAAGTAGAATAAAAAATCACGAGCTAGCTAAAATAAATATCAAAACGGCGTTAAAAATACATGATTTCATAAAGATTTGACTGAAAATGAACCGTTCATTAACTTACTAACTTGAACGAAGTACCCTCTATGTGTTTTAACATGTCAGTAAGTGATACTCACCTTGCAGCAACTTCAAACCAATTAACATCTGCCGCGCCGTCAGGAACCTGTCGATTGTAAGACTTTTATTTCAATATGTCCGTTCTAGTATTTGATTATTCTCATTTATAAATCATGTGAGCTATAGGCTTTTATTTACTAATTTGGTTTTTAGGTATCTGTACTTGAATTCTTTACAAAGTCGTTTAATCAATAGAATTTCAAACGCTTACATATTTTCATTCAGTATGTTCTTTCCATGAATTGCAAGCTACATGTCTGATTTATATTTTATGTCAATTATGACTTGGAGTCCGTGTGATCTATCACACACTTTGTATATATTTCACTTTGTAACATGACTTGAAGAACAACGTTCATATAGAATAACTGTTTCGCGGGCAACAATTTTTGAGTAATTCCCAGTTTCAAAAATACGTTGGACTAGCTCAAAATGAGCGTTCTGTGTCTGTCTATTCTGTGGGTATGCTGGACAGTATAATAACGATGCATTACTGATCCAGCCTTGTTTTTCAGGTTATTACCAAAGCATTATAATTCCATATTTGAATTTTCTCTTAGCATTATATCCGCACATTCTTTCTTTATGAGCTGGTCGATGATGCTAAAGTCGGTTTATCCGTTAGTTTCAAGATTCGATGCCTCACATAAACCAGCACTGTGATTTGGACTAGTTTTTGACCAGTGAACACTTACTTTGTTCCCTGGAAAATGACTAAAGTTCCCGTAACTCGCCTCAAATTAATGTATCGAAAATTGATGCTAACTAAAAACCAATCGGTATTTACACAAATTTGTGTAAGTCAGTCTCCGTTACATGATTATTATGATCATCACTATCACTCAAGAAATAAGGCTTTCCCTGTCGAATCATTGATTTTCAATCGTACATATTGCTCACGGGTTTATATAATTACTTTATGCCGTTTTGTCACGTAAAAAATGGTCTCGTAATGAAACACTGTTAGCCGGAGTAATATTTCAAGAAAATATTAGTTCCTAAATATTTCAGGAAAATTGGTTTGGTTTGAATCATGTGAAAGGGTTGATCCTGTATTTATGACACTTAAATCCCATCCGAAAAATTCACAAACACTTTCTTGTTCTAAAAATGCATTTTCTGCGCTTATTAGTGACATTTATCGAGGAAATAACTCTAGATTCTTATGATAAGCCATAATAACTACAGGTCAGCCAACAACTTCATAACTTAAGTAATTTACAGAAATATCTAGGATATGCTGCCCCATGTTGTGAACTAGATGTGTTGAAAATATCAGCTGTTTAATCCAAGTTTACTAAATTTGGATGTTGATATACCTTTAAAAATGGAGGCTTCTAAGTTCCATTGCTATGATAATACTTGGAGAATACTGCAAAGTAGAATAAAATGGGTTTGTTTTGTATACTTAGTTTGGTTAATTGTTAAAATGATGGTAACATCTGGTGTTCGAGAATTCCCACTTTAGGTTATTTGAAATGCACTCCCGACTAGCACTTTGTTTTATTTAACATTTTATTTTGATGTATCCTATGGGTGTTTACTCTCGTGGTTTTAACTTTTCCTGCAGGACACAGCTGTTTCCCCGAAAGAACAGTTTGTGATCTACAGGACAAAAATTATTCAAAAAGCAACTCGTAGTACAACTATTCACGTTAGATGGGATATCTTACTTTTTCTATCGCCCATACCTTGGTCTGCATACGTCGGATTCCTGTTGGCAATAGTCCTGAAGTGGGCCAGAGGTATTTTTCACCCTCTGGATAAACGCTAGAATATTTGACTGAGTTGTTCTTAGGACGTTGCGATTATAGGATTATTACCACATATCCACCGTATAAAACTTTTGGGAGTATATGATTCAACGCATCAAATAACTATGGGTCGCAAGAGGCATACTGTTGGCAGCGTGTTCCGAAATAGGTCAGACAAGTCGTCTCGATCCTCAGGCACTTCTTCTTCCTCTTCTTCGTCTTCATCAAAATCTAGTATAAAGCCCGTGAGTTGTGTTTAATCTACCATATTTTTCCTCCAGATGTTTTGTGAATAAATTATTTCTACAGCTGAATTCACGAGTCACTTTCAGCTAGACCACCAGTCAAAACCTGAAAGTAGTGGACAGCCGTTTCGTCCTATTATGAAACTTCTCAGCAGTGCGCATCCACGATTCTTCACGTTGTACGTGGACCAAGGACCTTCGGTCTCACACACAAAGGCTCAAGGTCTAGAGCACTGACCGCGCATCTAATGATGTTAATGTCTAACTACAATCGATCCATGATCTCGTGCGACCCTTCATCCATTATCTGAGGTGGACATTAACATCATTGGATGCGCGGTCAGTGCTCTAGACATTGAGCCTTTGTATGTGAGACCGAAGGTCCTTGGTCCACGTACAACGTGAGGAATCGTAGATGCGCACTGCTGAGAAGTTTCATATTAAGACGAAACGGCTGTCCACTACTTTCAGGTTTTGACTGGTGGTCTAGCTGAAAGTGACTCGTGAACTCAATTGTAAAAATACTACAATCCTCCATTCTGATAATAAAATATTGGTTCAACTGGTGCAAGATATATCTGGATGCTTACATGTTTCTGGATTGCAACTTACATTTTCATACTGCTAACAGATATCTTATCATTATGTGCTATACAGATAAGTGGTAAGGTGACTAGGCTCCCTTTCAGTCAGACCGCTGAAGTGGAACACAAATTACTATTGTATTACCTTGTGTTATGATAGTCAACACTGGCATCTGAATTCAGCGTTTCATCATTATTAACATCAACTGTGTTTATGTAACTCATAGCTAAAGTACCATTTCATTGCAGTATTGTAGTTGTTTTGATTATCCTGAATATGATGCATATAAGCCGAATCATAAAAACCGCTGAAATATATCATTTTATGGTTTACCTTACTTATAATCCTACTGGTAAAATTCAGCAGAAATACAATCACAAAGTGACCAACCAAATTGTCGAGAAATTCACTTGGTAGTAGTCTATGTTGTAATGCTCAACAATTATTCTGCTATTGCGGGTCGTGGAGTGTGGCACAAAAAACCCTATATAAAACAGTTAGCATAAGAGTGAAGTCACACAGAAAAACCAAGTCTGGTTCTTTTCTTATATTTGTTATTCATTCCGTCGATTACTGCCTACATGTTTGTCGATTATTAATTTTCTTGTGCTCAAATTAAATAAAGAAAGCTAATATTGTAAAGATATTTTTCATCACTAACTGACGTCAGCTAATATCAATGCGATAGGAAAATCATTTTTAGATGATATTAATATTCATATAGCTGTCTGTGAAATGCTGGTAAGGTTTTAGAAGCTAAACAGTCTACATTAGTTGTGATAAGCGGTAATGATTATATTCAGTAACTTGTATGCCATTAGCTTGAATTAAGCGTCAGTATAGATAGGTTTTTAAGTCAAGTTCGTGCTAATCCACCGCATTATTGATGAACAATAAATTTGGTTGATATTGTAATGGTACTTGTACGATAAAGTACAGGACGACTGTGACTTTTTAAGCTCATTCACCCTTTCTTTTGAAAATAAGATACCGATTCACTTTATGTACAAGCATAATGTGATAAAATGTTAGCTAGAATCTGATTAGCATCATACCGGAGGAATAATTTCTACTCGAATTTACCAACTATGAAAGTATTTTCTTTAGCTCTAATAATTATTATGACCATCATTATGAAGTGCTTTAATGGTGTTAACTCAATAGGATATAATAAGCAATATGACTGTAATCTGAGATTTTGTTTCATCGATCGGTTTCATTATTTCCTTATATACACAGTCGTAAAATGTTGATTAGGTTACTAAGTACCTGAGTATACATTAAGAAAATAGCTTATATTTGGGCTGTATACATTGCATAAGTCTGGACGTGTTATGTTGAAATCTTGAACCAATCATTCTAATCCGGCTACACAGTTTAGTTCCACGCATTTTATCTGTATTTTTTCTGGATATTAGCAAATCATATGATGATTAGGAAACAATTAATGGTGATTTGCTAGACCATATTGCGGCCACGTTAAGTGACTCGTTAAGATGTTTTTAATTAATTTTTGTCACAAACTGACCTTGATCATACATTTAGTGATCAGTTGTAAAATGACTTCATATTTCTGTACTTCGGTTTTGAAGCCAAAGTTTTTTTCTTAGTTTTTACACGAAAATGATACAGCATACAAACTACTATTATGAAATCCATATACGTACATACATACATATATACATAACTTTTGAACTTTTGGCTAACATTTGAAAAATGATAACAACCATGGTCTAAATAGAGTAATTTAACTAACTTTCAGCTTTACAACAAATATATCTTATTTATTATGTGACTTATATAGGTTATTATTATTATTATTATTATTATTATTATTATTATTATTATTATTGATGATATGATACTAATAGTATGAAAATTATCATACATCATCCAACTTACCGTGAAACCAATTCCATTTATCTTATCTAAAAATGCAACTAACAATTGATCCATCTACATAATATGCATGATAAATATTTTCTACTTTAAACATTCATCACTTTTTCCAAAAGTATTTTTGCTTTGTATATATATAAAGCGATAGATTGAGAACATCTATTCTAAATTAATGAAGTCAACAGATCAATATGGCGGATTTTTGAACTGTTGATTATTTTATTCTTTAAATATGCCTTACTATTATAGTGATGCCAATTTTGTGATGAAAGCATTTTTCTAGTTAGTTTCTATTCAAATGAAGTCGGTGATAATTAATAAAGTACCAAGCACGATTTTATATTGAGAAAATTAGCCATATTTCATGTCAGTACAGTGATAAGAAGTCACAGAAATGAAAGGTATATAAGTTGGAATAGTATGTCTTGTAGTGGAAAACTATTCTCAGGAAATATTGTTCAAAATGAATAAATTTAAGAGGTGACGAAAAACACTAACCTTGAACCATGTCACTGACTTCCTCAAGCCATAAATTATGATTATGCGGTGGACCCCAACTACGAAGCTTACACCCCTGGCTATGGCTTATATCTCAGTATGGTTATGCCTAGCTTTATCTTAATATACCCTTATACTAAGTAACATTTTAATTTTGAATTGGTAGGTGATGGGGATGGTCGTAAAGCAATAAAAAAAACAGACTCCCACTCATCAATTATCCATAATCACTATAGAGTCCGGCGCAAATGTGCTTTGGCAAACGTTGCTGTACCATATTAGCACGAAACGGTGAAATTAACAAAGTTACTAATAAACCTGTCTAAGTACTATCGTAGCAATGATCATAGGAAAGACTAGACATTAAAAATATGGTTTGTAAAGAAATATCAAAAGACTATTGCATAGTGAAATATATGAAGTTAAAATCAAGAGGAAGATAAAACAAACATTTCATCTCCTTGATAAATTGTAAATAAGCATCAAATAATAGAAAATAAACACTTTTCTATAACCTAGAAAAAACTTGAATCTCAGTTTATTAATAATATGTTTATTTTTGTTTGTTTATTTTTAATAATCGTTTAATATCATTATAACACTACAAATGCTGACTTGATGTCAACCTTATGACCAGCCTCAATCAAATGTTTCTCAATGGAGGATGATGTCTGTCTATCCTGTGATCTTCTTTGACCATTGAAATCCATTTATTTCTGCAGCCATTTTGGTGTGTGTTCACCCACCCTTAATTGCAAATCACTATTTATCCTCCCTATGTACGTGTTTCCACACATACATGTAAATTGATAGACACAATGGGATGTGATACAATCGCTTACGTGCTGTTTGGGCTTTTGGTGAAACATATACCTTATTTTTTCGATAATGACGTACATAAGGACGTATACTAAGGTTTATTGAAGCCTTGTCTATACGGAAATTGAAACCCCCTTTATGCATTCAAAATTAATATCATTATGTTACATAATTTCTAGATATTCACTTTCTCCTATTCAATACTCTTCAATGTCAATTACTTGTTTTTGCAATAGATAAAGTTGATTATAACTTGATATTTTTTAAGTTTTGTAAAATGCAAATCCATTCAACATCACTTTTAACATCCAATACTTAAATTAAAAAAAATAATTTTAATAAAATATAAAATTCTACTGATTTTGTTTTATTGAATTAGATACCATGGATTGAACAAAATATTGTATGCTTGGAATGTGCTAAATTTGTTTTTGCTCGTCATTCAAAATCCAAGTGAGTAATTAATAAATTAAAATTTTCATTTCAATAACTATTTAGAATTTATATCTAGTTTATTTTGATTTCTTAAAGGAATTTATTGCCTAATCATGCTTAGTCAGTCAATTTTAAGCAGTTAATGGATAGTAACCAATGTTATTTTGTTCAATCTTTAGCAATGGTAATACTCTTTCAACCAAGTACACTTTCCTTGCTGTTAAGTATTTAAAAGTTAATCGACAATGTGGGCCTTGAACCTAGATTTTATGTTATTTGAGACTCATTTTTACAGAAATTAATGGTTCTTATATTTTTCGAAACGTCATTACATAAAATCACCATCAGATACACTTCTTATCAGTTATTTATGGTTTCTGTTGGTTAATTCTAACCAGCTAATTTCGAACTCATTCTGTTTTGGTAGTCTTTTAAGAATATATGAAGAAAATGTGGTTGAATGGAACTCCTGTGTCGAAACGAAATATTCGCTTGCTTTATACATCTGGCATTAAATAAAGTGAATAAATATGAAATGATGATGAAGAAACTCATAGTTCATACAGATACTTATTGTCGTGTTGCATTCTACTCCAAGCATACAAAATAGGCTCTGACGATCCTATCCAAAATGATATCCAAAACTTTACAATTACATCATTTAATTCAGATGGATGTAACACTTTTAAAATAAGTCTACATCGTTGCTGTGATGAGTGAATATAACAAATAGTCTGTAAAATCTTCATGTTACTAAGGCAGTCCATGATACACGCAATTTTTATTGTTCCTAATTTTTTAAAAGTTGAATGGCGTAAATATCTTTATTGATTAGAAAATAAGAATCACCGTACGTTCTGTTAAACTATCATAATAACTCAAAAGAATTCCGCCTTATTTTTTGTGACATAAGGTTATTTTTATAATGTAAGTGATTTTCATCGAGAATCAACGTCATCCAGAAAACCAGTGAAAATCAAGGAGCTATGTATGGTTGTTTTGCTACAAGTTCTGAAACTTTTGTTCACTATCCGATCAGGATCCCACTGATCCAATTCAATGATCTGAGGTCATCATGATATAAACGAAACCTGAATGGCTTGAGTAAGGTTCTGTGTATAATCTTGGTCGTGTATTGGTAATTGCACTGCTATAGTCAATACATTGTAACTTCATACTAGTTTGATATTTCCTAAACAACACGCCGAAAAATCCGTTTACCTATTTTCTGACCCATCTATTTTGTAAATATCATAAATAAAAAATTGTTTCCAACAGTTTTGTGTATAAAACAACTTTTACGAGTCAGTTAATTCATTAATTTATCATTACTATTTGTTAGGATCCCATTTTAATATTTAGGAAGTGTCTAGTCATTCCCTACATTGAGTTATATTATAAGCATATAGGTAAACTGAAACTAAGCAAGAGCCGGCGAAACAATGGTTTAGCTACAGTCCATGAAGTCATTAGTTGTCAGTTTAACCCGTGTTAATGGCACAAATTTTGAAGTTGAAATCTGCAACATAAGGGTAATATTCAAGTGATTAGTTTGATTAATATTGATAGGATTTATGGCTAAGGAGCCTATGACCTTTATTTTTTATCCTCTTGTAAATTTTAATTTCAAGTACTACTTCATACTTTCCATGTTATGGATGCCATTTGTTTTTTTTGAACTATATTTTCTATATACAGTTTTATTTTACTATTATTACACTTCTGAATCTAGGTTTTCCTTTTATAAATGCTTTTTGCCATCCTGAGATGAGTGACAATCTTGTTTAGAAATCAACTGTGCACTACATTCTACCCCGGTCATGACTGACAAACCAACTCAGTATTTTCAATAATCAACGTGGACAACTAAAGTTATTTTTTGTTTAGCCCATGAAACACGTTAGATTTGTTTCATTAGCTGAAATTCTTCATATAATTGATCTTATGTCGGCAGTCTAGAACATATCCTTACAGTTACTTAGAGATCAGTAAAACATTTGATTCATTGTTGAATAAAAAATGTGACAGTTATTGTCTCCTTAACTAAACACTACATTAGAAGAAAAAAAACACTGTGATGAGAAATTAATGAAATAACTTGACAACATAGTTTTTATTGTTTCAAAAAAACACTCAATAATTACTGTTCATAATTATCTAAAGAAATGTATTGTGGATTGACAACCACAACATAAATATGTTTTTTTCATTTAAACAACTTATGTTTTAAAAAGCTAATGTATTCAGTTAGTTTGTTACATGAATGCATCACTTCTATCCAGCCTTTCCAAGTAAATCACACCTCAAAAACATACTACATTCAATAAATAAAATAGTAATATGTTCTTCAAAATGATCACTATATATGAATTGAGATGATGTTTATTTTATTTATTTATTTCAACACATAGATAATGGTACAAAGAGGCACCAAATACATATGCGCCACACAAATCTCATTCGATATGTGTGAGGGCTGTGGTACTGCCCGGGTGCCCAAACCGAAGCAGGTGGTTTTCTTAGGGGGCCACACCCCGAGCCTTCGACCTGAAGGTCTGATCCACAAGGCAGTGGAGCATCGTGAGGAGATGCAGTCCCATGGAAGCCGGTGACCAACAATTGGTTCATTCGCCATTTGTTCCCGCAGGATACTGGAGCCCATGTGCACCATTGGTTTGGAATCCGGTTAAAGCGCCGGACATTCGCTTTTCGTCCTCTCATTTTCGTAAACAACACCCCCGTCACGAGAAGGCAGTGAGTAGGACTTCCCTGGCAGAGGCTATATACGCGTGGCCGTGTGAGAGTATTTCGAGAGGGAGAGCGGACTCTCCCCACTCTCGGCCGTACCAGGGCATTTGGGGGCTGAGATGATGTACAAGAATATTAACCTAATTATCCCTTTTCATACTTGATTGTTTGACTTGTTAATTATGTTACCGACAAATAACAACTTCAATTATGTAATCATTTAGCAGGTGATTATGTCTTTTAAATTTTACTCATTTAGAATTTTAGAGCTAATTTCTATGAGCAAATGATCAGTTGACTACGTCAGCAATTTCGAGTCAATTGCTTCATCATTGCAATAATAATCACTGTTGATTTTACACGGATCGAATCAGGAATGCTGAGTTGCATTCAAATATAAAAAGATATGTACTGATACAAACCAGCCACACTAATCGTTCATGAAAACGTTTCAATCCGATATCACAACTTGTAAAATCACTCAGTCTGTTCTCAACTGAAAACGCATGAAAATGTAGTGGAAAGTTTGAATATTTGTTTAGTTATGGAAATTCTCAACATGAACTGTACTATTGTGCAAATTATATAATTAATCGTACTATCTCATAAATAATGTACCTAATTTTAATGTAATACCAGTTATCCTTAATTTTAGTATGCTGACAATGCCTAGCCATTGGTAATTAAATTGAGGGTGTCCTTGGTTGAATCTCCTTTATTTATCATCCTCAACATATTTGCGTTTTATCAATCCCTTTCGGCCGTTTATCCATTCATCTAGCGCGTGAGCGCCATATGTTAAAGTGCGATATATATATTTTTTATCCAGCCCCCAAATGCCCTGGTACGGCCGAGAGTGGGGAGAGTCCGCTCTCCCTCTCGAAATGCTCTCACACGGCCTCGCGTATATAGCCTCTGCCAGGGAAGTCCTACTCACTGCCTTCTCGTGGCGGGGGTGTTGTTTACGAAAATGAGAGGACGAAAAGCGAATGTCCGGCGCTTTAACCGGATTCCAAACCAATGGTGCACATGGGCTCCAGTATCCTGCGGGAACAAATGGCATATGAACCAATTTTTGGTCACCGGCTTACTTGTGACTGCATCTCCTTACGATGCTCCACTGCCTTGTGGATCAGACCTTCAGGTCGAAGGCTCCGGGTGTGGCCTCCCAAGAAAACCACCTGCTTCGGTTTGGGCACCCGGGCATTATCACAGCCCTCACACATATCGAATGAGATTTGTGTGGCGCATATGTATTTGGTGCCTCTTTGTACCAATATCTATGTGTTAAAATAAATAATCCAGCAAGTTGAGATGTGTGCTACACAAGCTTGTTCTTACCAGATAGTTGCGGATAATTCTAATCGCCTGAAACGAAATCTTTAGTGAAAATTATACTCCAATGTACAACACTCACCCAGCAAATGATCTTGAAATTGACCGAAAGTGCTGGATACACTCCATGTAACATTAGATATGTTGTGGATAACCTCGATCGTTCATACCGTTGTTTTCAGATGATTTTATTTTCTCAAATTATGTAAGTTTAATATGCCACATGAATGTTCACTACCGAAATGAGGATAGTTAAGGTACTTTCGCGAGAAAAAAATTAGAACATAAACAACTTCTGAACATACAGTAAAGACGATGTAAATGACATCAAGCGCTTAAATCGATTCCTGAAGAAAAAGCAAATGGAATGAAATGTGTTTCTTATTGCGACACCATAAAAAACCATAAATCAAATGTGTAAGTGACCTCCTTGTAGTAACTAGAGTCACTCATATGAGCGTAATTCACACTTTTATGACCAAGTAGTCAAGGCTGTCACAGAATGAGATAGAAAACTGTAGAAATCACATGGTTAGACATATTTTAATATACTTCACTATTATGTCCATAAGATAGTTTGTTCAAGGTCAATAGCATGATAGTCAGCTGACAACACAAAAAAGAACCAAGAAAAATTGAGTTGAAGCATTTTACATGACTGTTAAATAAAAAACTAAATAACTGGTGGAAAATGTTAAGTAGATTTTTCGTGAAATTTTATATCGTAAATGAGTTCCTACCCCTTCATGTACGTGTCATGTACTTTTTCTAATTGATATTGTGTCCTTAATTAAACTGTTGAACAAGGAAGAGTCTGTGGGTAGATGATTCAAAGTATCTAAAATTATACCAGTATATCACATACGAAGGACAACTTTATTTGCTCAACTTTAGGCAATATGTCTTTTGTGTAGAGACTAGTGGTACTACCAGACTACTGAAGCCAAAATTAGTAGAATCGGACCCATAGTTAACACTTTTAAGGTTGAAATTAAAATAATTTTGTGCCGTTTTCCATACATCTCATACATATCTCTCTCTTATTCTTCTCTTAACTCTTCAAAGCCCTTAACTTCCCTAGGAAATAACCTTCATAACAATATCCATTAATTCACTTGATATTGTTTTTACTTGAATCTTCCCATTGATGTTTTAGGACTGAAATTGATCAGTCTCTTATTGGCATATGTGCATACTTTGCGTATGCCTCGATATTGCCTTAATTTACAAGCATTATAAGCAGAGATGGATAGTGGCTAGCAGTGGAATCCAGGAGGCGCGTTTCATCCTGTTTAGGACTCGTCAGCTGGATGTACCTGCATTTCAGAGTTGATGTTCACTCTGGGACTCGAACTCAGTACCGTTCGCTTCAAACGCCATCGCGTTATCCACTTAGCTACTGAGTCCATCTTTGCTTATAATGCTTGTAAATTAAGGCAATATCGAGGCATACGCACAGTATGCACATATGCCAATAAGAGACTGATCAATTTCAGTCCTAAAACATCAATGGAAAGATTCAAGTAAAAACAATATCAAGTGAATTAAACTTCACCCCATTGCACAAGCAAGTGGCTATCAGGACTCAGTCAATAAGTGGATAACGCGATGGCGTTTGAAGCGAACGGTACTGAGTTTGAGTCCCAGAGTGAACATCAACTCTGAGATGCAGGTACATCCAGCTGACGAGTCCCAAACAGGACGAAACGTGCCTCCTGGATTCCACTGCTAGCCACTATCCATCTTTGCTTATGATATCCATTAATGTTTACATATCATTTATTGAATCCTTTCACAATATTCTCGATTCTAAATTAGCTTTTATTACAATTACATATCACCTACAAAGTAAAATTTCATAAAACAAATACCGATTTTATATTATCTATAATCTAAATAAAAATAGTTTTATTCACTTAATTTCAATTCATAAAATTAAATCATTATCATTTATCATTCATGTTAATGAGAAATAAATGAATATTACAGTTTAAGTAGTAGTAGTAGTAGTAGTAGTGACACATTGAAATTTATCACTTACAGATTATTCATTGAATCAAACATTAATATCCTGTTTTATTTCGTATCATTATCTGACATCATCTGATGATGATTTTCGTAAAAGAACAAAAGACATTCTCATCACACGATTGTTTCCTCTTTTTTTATTTTTTGGCTTTTTTTCATAAAAACGAAATAATTTTTACTAACTTTCTTTCATTTCATTTTTTATCAAAATGATTTTCAATTTTTTTTTATTTATTATAAATTTTGAAACTTAATTCATTCAATAGATGCATTTTTACATGGACGATTTAAAGTCTAATTAATTTGTGAAAATTAGTGATATTATTTAAGGATTCGAACCGATGTAAATGCAGTGGAGTTTTGAGCTCATGACTTAACGATCATGTTTAATTGTCTTTTGGTAACCTAATTATGATGATGATGATAATAATAATAAAAAAAATAAAAATCTATCTCTTGTTTTTAATCATGACATCAGTTCATGAAGTCATTGACTATTAGACTGATACATATTGATAAGTTCATATTACGTGGTTAGAGACAACGCGATTATGTAACTAATGGTTGGAGATATTGGGTGACATAGCTTAGAACTGTTAGCATTAGCGCAGACACATTCACAATTTTTTCCATTAAATTCTGAATTTGAAAAGTTTTTTAAACCTTTAGTTCCTAGAATTCATTCCTTCTCTAAACATATCTATCCTTGATCGTTTCTATTAGTGATACTTCTAATACTACGATATTTGTTTCAATACTTTCATCTTCCTATACTAATATGATTTAACAGCCTGAATGGACCCAAGTATGTCCCATGTTCTACGTTGTTTATAACTGACTGACTGACGTTATTAATCGAAATGCATAACCTACCTTTCGGTTTACTCTGATACCTTATTCTCATTTGGGTTAAACGGTGTAATAATCTGGTCAGATTCAATCTTTCCAACGTTCCACTTTATCCTATATATCAAGAAACAAGCTCGGTAGAACAAGGAAACTAATCACTTCTAAGTGAAATAGTTGTTATTATAAGAAGAGAAGATAACATAAGGTAAAGGACATATTTATTGATTTCACTACACGCAGTGATTTTATAAAAAGTCAAACCTGACATAATCACACTCTTTATGTTCCAGACACTTTAATTCATTGATTTTCATGACCTCCTTTTCTACAGTCAACCTAATCCATCAATAAATGCCAGCTTAACACTTTATTCTGTAGTTGAATGCATTAAAATGGTATTTTCTTTTAATTCTTACCAATCAAACATTAATTCCTGTGAAATGGTATGTTTAATATGCATAAAAAGTATGCAGAATGACTACACTTATTGAATGACAATCATAAACCAGCACAGACATGTACAACTTTTTCTACATAATACTATTTGTCAACTATAAACGATTTTATTATCAGAAGTGGGGAGTTTTGTATGATTTATTCATATCTCCAAAAAGTACATTTATATGTGATAATATTCTTGAAATGACCATAATTTGCAGGCATATAACTTTTTTAAATTTATGTGTGATAGCATTCATAAACTCTTTGTTGTTGCTTTGTCAGTATTTCAGAATATTATTCATTCTTTACTCCTTCCAAAAATTTATCCAGTAGCAAAAACATAACAACTGTAGGTATTTTCCTATTTCAATCTAGTTAGTGTGTTCAACTCTATCTCCCTCATTAGACCGCATCCATTTTTACCTTCACATCTGAGTTTGATCGGGGTCATCGGTGCCCACTGTCGATGGATTTCGTATTAAGACGAGACTGTCATTCAATCCTTTCTAGCTTTCAATGGTTGTTAAGAGAAAGTCATACTAAATGCATGTGAAACTTTAATAAAAATGTGTAACAACTCAGTAGTAAATCTAAATCAAATCATCTAATATGTACAATTCGCGATTTGTGCTGTCGATCAAAAGATTTAGGATCATCGTCTATTTTCTGATACATCCCTGTTTCTAATGATTAATTTACTTCGGTATATCAATTGACTTGATAACTAATTAACCTATAATGCTTAATCGATATCGTTTCACTTAAGTTATCCCATCACAATGACCCCAAACCAGAATTATAGATAAACCAAAATGAATATTAATGAATATTATTATCTTAAGACATATCTTATGTGACGGCGAAGCCTAACGAACTTTCATACACTGGAAGAAGAGCAAATAACAAAATTAACTACTTATGACATATAAATATGTTATCTTATTTGCTAGCGTTTTGTATATAAGCGTTCTATTCCTCTAGCAAGTAGTCTCATCTTTTATTTCAAATCATCCGGGGATTTACACCAATTATTAAGTCACGTGAGCAACCATAACTCAAACATATTGTCAATAAATCGGCGCATTTCATTTATTAATTTAACAAACCCCTTATGTTTTTCCATAACAAATTATAACAGACTAATTAAAACTGTATCTTTTATCACGATATCTAAAGCTACCGAACACAGAAGCCGTTTAACCAACCAGTATAATAGTGTTTCTATTTTTTGTTTATTCAGTCCATGTTGCAGTTGCGGTCTTACATTCAGTGAACATCCATCCAATGTACAAATAGAGGCTTTAACACAACAGAATTTAAATTTACAACCTGATATTTCCATTAATGGTGGTTATCATTTAAAACCAACTAATAATGAACGCTGGCATGTTAAAACCCACACTCAAGAAATGCCAACAAATGCTTATGGTACGGTGGAATTTCAAGGCGGTCCACACCCAACGAAAGCTCGGGTTAGTGTATATGTATAACTATCCGGGATTTTTTTTGCTGATAAACAGATTTTCCTTGTTAAGTGTTTAAGTGCCTTCAATGTCATATATATTTAATGATGTTACTCAGCTGACTTTAATATATCGAGCTTGTACTCTGTTTTGTTAATTTCTCAGTGAGTGATTATTTCTTGGCAAAGCGTATAAATCATTGATTCTCATCATTTACGGCTTATATATCCCTAGTAAGACTAAACGTTTTCGATTCTGATTATGTAACAGACTCAATCACTATAGATTAATACTGTGTTGTCGTATTCAGTGAACCCGGCTTCGAACAACAGATGATTCATATTTGGTGATACTACATGATTGACCAAACTGAAGTGGGTTGAGAGAGGTTCAAGCCTTCCACTTAACTTCTTTAACTTGATTACATTAACCACTAAATCACTGTTTCACAGATAAAGATGTCAGTCAAAAATAATACAAATTCAAAACTACGAAACACTTACAGTAAACGAATATGTTAATTTTATATGAATAAAAATAAAGCGTATTTCTAAAGACTTGGAGCGATTTGTGTGTGATTTAACTTTATTACATTATTTTACTTCTATCGACATATTTTATTATTTCATTTTGTTTCACATTGTTTATTCCACCGGTATAAATTGCCAATTTTTTCTCATATGATTAGACTTGATAAATTCTTATAATTTGTGCGTAAAATTCTTGAAACGACTGGCTTAACGTTGTTAAGACCGAATTAGAATTGGGTTTGATCTGTTATGGTATATAATGCTTTACATTTTCCCTCATAGTTGTATAAATTATGTAGAAAGATTCAGTTGATGAGCCAGGCATTCCTGAATTCCCGTACTAGACATTGGTTAAAACATACTTGACCTAATGATCAAATTTTTTTAACTGTTTTCTATTCTCAATTATATATTTTAGCTTAATTTTATGGGAAATAATTTGAAAATAAATTGTTTAGACTTCGAGTAGGCTGGAAGTCAATCTCAAGTTAAAGTAATTCAACTCATCAAATAGTTTGGGTGTGTATTTACTGTTACTTTGTTGGAGGTAGTCGCCATGATACCTTGGAATTTAAGCTTTGAGTTATTTGCCACTCATCAGAAAGGTGTACTCGTAATCGTTAGGGAAATGATTTCTCATGCGAGCTTTGAACCGCACCATTCAACTTTTCGGGCCAAGACTGCTCTCCTGTTGGACGAAGGTGTTTACAATTCATCAATCAATCGGTATTGACCAATTTCATGTTTGTCTAGTCCTTTAATTGCTGATCGAATGGCACCGATCAAGGACTAGGTATCCTTCATTATGTTTCTACATTTTTGTAAATTAAGCGGTTAATTCTTTTTCTTTTTCAGGGAAAAATATACCAATATTTTTTTTGTTTTGGTAGTTAAGCGAATTTATGTGTCCAGGAAAATACTCGCCATACAGTGATCCCGAAAATATATGCTCACAAACACCTGTCTCCAGTGTTTTTTTTTGACTACGTGTGACTTTACACAAATGCCATCTACCTTCACTTTTTAGTTTCTTATATCGTCAATGTTCAAGCGTTGAACTGATATGCAATATGTGAAATTTAACTGATGGACAACTGTTCTAGTTCCCACAATTTTTATTGCTGACTGACTTCATATTAATTCAATAGACTTTGTACATATTTTCTGGACAAATTAGGTAAAATTAGCCAAAATGGTTTACAAAGAGAGATGGTTAATATTGTTTAGTGGTCATCAAAGTCTGCTACTGACACAAAAGCTTCCTATACGTGAGCCTAATAAGCTATTTAATTGAGAAAACCAAGAATGAGTAGAAAGCTTTTTATTATTTGTTCAAATATAGAATATATTTACAACTCATTCATATATATATATCTTTTCCCCCAGAAAATAAAGCCAGGTTTTCAACTAATAGAATATCTCTGTTTCTTTGGGAAGTGAACTCAATTTTTGATATGTAGAGTGCGCCCATGAGTATCTCGCATTTATTAATTGACCTATATCTATTTGGCCCAGCGTATCAATTAGTTTATTATATTCTAGATTGAACATTATATTTAACTTAGAATTATCTATATTGTGTGACGTACAAGGATAAAACAGACACTTCAGAAAGTAATCTAATGATTAGAGATTAGATTGAAAAACTGAAGGTATTCATGCCATGTAACTCAATTTCGAACCATATGATCACTAGGTTGCCAAATTGTAGATTTTTCTATTTAGACTTCATTTTCATTAATGATGTATTTACATATGTGACTAGTAAAAATGCTCTTATAAACACTTCTCACGTGTGTGTAAACCCTATAAAGAACTTACAGGTGACGTGCATATTCGAAACGATAACCAGCTGATTGTTTATGACTTAAATAAATCTTTTGTACGTCAGTCATCTATTGTCATGCTCTCTATATCCACAGGATTAAAGAATAGTTGTGTTCCTACTTTCACTGAAACTGATGTTCGAAAATGCTTCCAGTCACTTAGTTCATCATGATGTTTAGGACCTGATAAAATTCTAAACCTCATTTTTAAAAAATATGCTGACGTTCTATGTTAGCCATTCACAAGCATCTTTAACAGATCCTTCTCAACTAATCTGAGACCGAAAATGTGGAGATAGATAAAGATAACGCCGATACCTAGGAAAGTCTGTGGCAATAAAAATGTGAAATTCACACGCATATCAATAAGTTGACCTTTCTTCAAATCGATCAAAATATTATTGATACTCTCACTTCAACCTGCACTAAAAGAGCACATTGATCTGTATTACTTTGCTCACAAATGCTAAACAGCACCTCAGACGCTGTTGTTCCGCATCATAATATATTATTCTACTTGGAAAAGTGTAAGAAATATGTTCGATGCAGTTTCTGAACTATCCTTTTTTTGCCTTTGACTCGATTCCAAGGAAAACTTTCACTTGACAAGTAAATCAGTGTTGACACTGACAGCTTCATAACGTGGTGCCTATGTTTCTACCTCTCTAGAAGAGAACAGTTACAGAAATGTGTACATGTCCAACAAATTACCTTATAAAAAGTTACATCACAGATAGAAGGCTACTGATAACCAGTTATCTTTGGATTATTTAATGATTTCTTGTGATGACAGTGTTTTGGATCAGTTCCAAAAAAATAAAGCTCTTTGGTAATTGAATTTCTTGTCTGATATTATTTTAAAATTACAAATTGTCAATAAACATAATGACAGTGAAACCTATAGCTCTATCGTGTTAGTCAGTTATTATAAATTTAAATGTCTTTTAGTATGAAACAAAATCTGAATAAGCTTTATTAAATCGACTTCTTCAATGTTAACAGGGGATTTACATCTTTCCTATATATCGATTTTCATTTTACTGCAACATTTTACAGATTTACCTACTGTTTCTAAGTCGAATTTACTGTTATTTGTATTGAATGTTATGGTTACTTGTCGATCACCTTCAACCACCTAATATGGAACAAAAGTACATCGCAATGTTCAGTTACCTAGGCTGAAATATCATATTACAATATGCTTGATAGTATTTGATCATGTCTAAAGACTATATGAAAATTACAATTGTAATATTAATTAATTTTGAGTATATATATGACTGATCAAACTACATATGATTCTCACAATAAATTCCTCTTTTTTATTTTGTATCCTTCATATAAATGTCTACATACATGTGTGTATGCAGTATGTGAGATTACATTATGAAACTTGTCCTGAGCTAGTACTGCATTTATTACTTCATGAATGGAAAATACGTGTGCCGAATTTAGTCATTTCAATTGTCGGTGGATTAGCCAATGCTCCATTACAAGCAAAATTACAACAAGTTGTAAAACATGGTATTTTGAGAGCAGCTAAAACAACTGGTGCTTGGATTGTTACAAATGGATTAGATATTGGTGGGTGAATTTTTCTAGTCGCTTGTTAAAATACTATCTTTTCATGTTTGTATCTTCTCAAGTTATTGCTATTGTATGAACTTAAGACTATGTCGATTTCGTAAACCTAGCACTCAATAATTATTTAGTTGAAAGATAAAATTGTGTATATTTTTTCATCTAAATTCATAAAACAGGTCCCTCAATGTTTTTTTAAAATTACATTAAATAATACACACCATTAAATAAATCATCTTTATGATTAAATAAATGAATGTAAGAGAAATGAAGCTTTAGCACTCCAGCAAGTTGTTTTTTCACCACAATTCTATTTTTTGATTGAGATCATGAACCGATTGATGTTAGACCACCATTGAAAACCTGGAAACACCGGACGGCCATTTCGTCGCATTGTGGGACTCCTCAGCGGAGCGCATCCACGACCCCGCTCGTGCGATCCGAACCCAGGGCTTTCGGTCTCGCGCGCGAACGCTTAACCTACTGGACCACTAAGACGGCATCCAATGGTTATAGTGCCTAACATCAACCAATCCACGAAATTGCGCGACCATCTTCCATTGTACTGCAGTAGATACCTGTCTCTACCCGACATGGATTAGCTCCACTGGTCACGGCTTCTCACTAGACCTCCAAGAATCTCCTCACGAAGCTAGTCACTAGTGAGCACATGTTAATTACTAGTATAGGGATCGTGGGTGCGCACTGCTGAGGAGTCCCACAATAGGACGAAATGGCCGTCCAGTGCTTCCAGGTTTCCAACAGTGGTCGAACATCAATCGGTTCATGATCTCAATCAAAAACATAATAATCTCCACAACCCCTATACCAGTAACAATTCTATTTAACATATATAACCCCCCCAAAGCCAACATGTTTTAGACAATAGATTATAATTAAAAGAAAATAAACAATTGATCATATTGTTGTTTATATCCATATTGTTTATCTTGTGTCATTAACTAATTAGTACCGTTTTCTATGTCTAATATACTCACGTACTATTGCGAAAGTGATAAACCACTGACTTATTAACACTATAAAATATTATGCAAGACAATCTTCATAAGTGAACACCACTGATCACGGCCTCACTAGGATTCTGTTCAAAGTAATTCACTTACGAATACATAATAGGCTGTTGGTGGAAATTGCTCACATTTATGCGGATTCATATTATCGACTACTATCGACATTAATTGAAAATTAGGCGTGAGTGTTGATACGTAGTGAGCAACCTTCAACAACGTCCCATGTTAATAATCATCTTGTATTCATTATTGACTAGCTTTAACCAGTTACTTAAAAGCTGTGACCGGTGGAGTTCACATATGCTCAAAATATGATAGAAATCTTGATTATCGTCTTTCTTTTCTTGGTCTATTCACGTGTTGGGAACCTATGCTACTGCTTAACTGCAATAATTGATCACTTATTAGCAACAATTGTCCGTTTAGCTAACTGAATTGTGCGAATCAAGTTGTAAATTAGACGCTACTCTAATCTACTCAACATCATAGTGAACTGCGTGATGGAAAGCCATTTGGTTGGAATCTATGATCTATGTTTTATGGAAGCTGACATTCTTCTGCTATACACGTAACACGTGTATAGTGTTTTGTAGTTTTAAAAATAAATAAAACAATAATCAGTTAAATAAAAATAATATATTTGTAATATCCTAATGAGTAGAAAATTGGATTTTCTGACGTTTCGTGACTTAGTGTAAGTCACTTCTTCAGAGAATAAATAACCAAATTCGAATTTGGTTTATTTATAACAATGAACCCAATGCTCAATTTATTAGAAATTATCAAATCAAACCTTGGTAATGACACTTACAATAATCAGTTAAGTTTAGAATAATTTATTCTCATTGTGTCTTTTTAAATTCTTTATTAAAATGTTTCAATAAAATAAGTCTTATGTATTTTGCTTATTAATATATCACGTTCCATTTTTCTCATAACTCTTTAAGTTACAATCTTGTATAGTTTGAAATGTAAACTCATATTTTTTTTACTTACGGAAAAGAAAGAAGTACATCTCACAACCAATACTATTACCACTTATATCTAATTACATAATACAAATAATAATTTAACTTATTTATCTGAAATTATTGAGTAAACCGAGTTATAACTAAATTAGATTTACTTATTAAATTAGAGATTATCACATGTGTCTTTCAGACTACAGAATATTTACTTGATATCTGTTTGAGAATTGAATAATTACCTACGTCTATTTCATTTTATTAATTCAGTTATTGTCAGTTAAAACAAAAGATTAATCTATCAATCATTTTAGTGACAAATATGTACAGAAATTATCACGAGCAAATCTTAATTACTTCAAACAAACATATATATGACAAATACTCATGACATAATAATAGTGGTCAAAAAGTCGTATAACATCACACTTTCTAAAAGTTGATAAGGTCAATATCTCTAACTATTTATCTCTCATTATATTATTTCACATATTGACTTTCGTGATGTTTTCTTTTATCTAATTTATATAACTAATATTGTAATTGCTATGATTAATAAAATAATTTCTAATGTTTTGACTATATCACAAATTAATACTGATTCATTAGTAATGGTCTTAAGGTTTTATGCTAACTATGAAAGTCTTGAATTTAGTCACATGTGGAGTGGAGTTATGAATTATACACTTCTGACAAATCGATAAACTAAGATGAAACATCTATACATTCTAGATTGATTTCGATCGTCCTTCAGACGATGTCAGTTCATTAAAAAAATGAATCATTTTCAGTTCCTCAGTACCGCTTAATTAGTTTAGTATGAAGCACAGCCAATTTTTTTTTAATGTTAATTGTACCAAATCAACAGAATACAATTGATTTCACATACAGCTTGTAGATTTTATGAAGACTATTGATAACTGTTATGAATGATATTTTATACAGTTTTCATTCTCCAAGGAGTTGGACAGATATAAATATTATCTTCTGATATAATTCATGATGTAATCCATTGAGTAGCGAAAATTATCAATCTTAATGCTAGTGATCGTTAACAACTATAAAATCCATTTATGCTTATGGCACACAAACTAACAGTAGAACGACATGAAATGTCAGTGCATGAAGACAAATAATAGTACTAATTTAACTGGCAAAATGCCAGAATTCTGGTTAGAAAAAATTCTATTAATGCTATAGAATTCCAAGAACTTTGATATTTAAACTAATCCGTAATCATTAGACAATTGAAAACAGATTCTATTTATCATTCGTCGTGGAAAATTGCAATTAATCGCATATCCAGAGGTTATCCAAGAAAAGCTTCCAGCGAGGACTCAAAAACACGTGAAGATAACAAGGCTAGGGAATACAATCGGTCACAAATAAGTTCATCGAAATATACTAATTTTGCATATGTGGAACAAGACTAAAAAGCTCATTTTTATTCAAAGTAGGAAATAATTATGTTTGCGTAGGAACACAGAAGATCAGTCGAGGCTCGTCTCGCTTATAAGTAACATCTGAAACTGGGTGGGCTGAATCTAAATCCATCAGGGAGCACCAGTTCCCTTATTGCTGTGGATACACTTTGTTGACCAGCGGCAACTGAAATGAAACATATATCCAGCGTTTCCTTCTGACTACCTTCATTCACCTAACATCATAATACTAAAAGCTTTTCAGTCAAACCATTCAACTCAGTTAACACAACTCCACCTAAAATACGTATCGTTGTGTAAGAAATAGCTCCTTATGCTCTTATCTACACATGTACTGTAAACAGTTCACTCTGAATTGATTCTACGAGTAAGAGGACCCAGTTTTCAATAATTTAACAGGAAATGAAAAACCTTAAAATGGTTCCTTACAATTGTGGTTACAGTAATACTTTTTGTGTTTTTAAAGGATGTGAATTTCTTATGTTAACGTTGAATGAAACAAAATTTTCCAAACTTTTCAATCCGATGAAGTTTTAACCTTTGATTGATTGATTTTACTGAATGTATGTTGAAGATTTCAAACCGGAAACTGTTATTATCCTATACCGCCAGAAGATGAATTAAGATCTTTAAAATATTTATGTTGATAACATAAGTCTCTATTTAGCTCTGTATTGTAGTCCTTAAATAACATTTATATCTGCAAGTTAGGACTTATTGATTTGAGTTCCTGGTTCGATTATTCAGATAATTTATTTAGAAGTTACTTTCAAGTGGTATGTAGATTCATATTATTAGTAGCAGTACTGCTTTTTTACTCTTTGTTTCTATTTTCAGGAAACCCAGTCACTTTCAAACATTCTTTTTTTCAGTTCTTTCCATTTGCATATTTATGAGTCATAGGTTTCCAATTTATTATTATTCTGACACTAAATAATGACTTTACATAGTTTTGTTTTGGTGAATTCATCGAGTTAATATCATCATATTTCCTGTTTCATTTTTACCTTCAATCGCAGGTGTAACTCGACATATTGGTGAAGCATTAAAAGATGAAGTGCATATTCGTGGTTCTAATATTGTTGCACTTGGTATAGCACCATGGGGTTATGTACAACATCGTGAAACACTGATTGGTTTAGATGTATGTGTTTATTCGTTTCCCTTAAATATTAAATAAAACCCTAGTTAATAATATTTGCGTAATTTATAGTGACTAACTCCAAGACAGATTTTTCTAACTTATCGTTGAAAGCCATCACTCATGAAGTCAAGAAGCATCAAGACCGAGATAAATGACATACTGATGATTTTAAAATTTGATTACGCCATAGCATGACTTAATGAGAGGTGAAAATATAAACTACGAGATTCCAAATCTGTGGTTTAAGTTCATCTGGTTAACTGTAAATCTGTAGGTTCCAAGTTCAGGCTTGCTTGAAACTATATCCATTTTCAGTTGTTGTCAAGCTCCCCCTCACAACTAAATCCAGTTGCCAGATATAATCCGTTAAACTGCTCTAGGAGTTTTGCTAATATTTTGATTAGCAACAATTAATGTTATCAATGTAACGGCAGTATAACTTAAGTTTATCACAAACCTCCCTGAATAGTTCGATTTCTAATGTAATGCGAAATCAACTAAGGTAGGGTTTGACGATAAATTGATTGCTCTTCTATCAATTAGATTGTAATAAAGACCAAGTAGAGATCCGTTGCACACCATAAGTGTAAATCTTTAGGAACAACCTGGGAAATCGCAAAATTAGCTTGTCTGTCTGACAGTCATTAACGTAAAATGTCATTTGTTCCACTTAACAGTGAAGAAGAAAGCAACGCCTAGAGATGTCAAATGTATCCCATCTATATTAAAATAATTCAACTTCGAACTGAAACTGGAAACATTGGAACGCTTTTACTAACGACTAGTTTGCGTGGAAGTTACGAAATTCGGTTAAGGCAATTCGCAGTTCTATGGTATAAAGATCTATACATAAATACCATAAAACTATGTGAAGATGCCATTACTTGTGGATTCCAGGTGCACCATAGACTTGAGGTACATTGGATCTAGCAGATTTAAGCCAACTTTAAATGGTTTGAGTAATTATCCTATTGTGTTTCAATTCCTCAGGAGAATTAGTCAGTAGCTTTTCTGTTTTTACAGTTATGTCTTTATTGTAACTAGGTTCTTGCAATTTAGTAGGATTGTTCAAAATTCTTGTTTTATCACTATAATCTGTTTTCTTCATTAAAAATAACTCTCCTCTTTTGTCTAGCTCGCTAAGGACCGCCATGTTATATTTTCTAAACGTTTTTGTACCGTCCAATTTTTGTTAGATTAGTGAACAATTGGCAGCATATTCACTATTTTTGTATTGTCCTCAGCTATCAGTCTATCTAATACATGAAGTAAGCTTGTGACCAAGACTGACGTTTGGAAAAAATACCTAAACTGCATCTCTGTATTTAAAGGGCTCTGACTGAAATGCATTCAACTTAACACTGAAAAGATTATGATCGTACTGCTTTGAGTCAATAGAAAACTTTCTGGTTTTTGAAATTTAGGAGATTCCACTCAATATACACTCATATTCTAAGATCTACTTCGTGTTATTCTTTTTACGTGATCCATAAAAGTGATTTTAGAATACTAAAGATTCCCATGTGTTGTTCTAAAAGTGATTTTATTTAATGTGGTAGGCTTGCAACAGCAAATTTTCCACAACAATAAATTTGAAACAGTTAGTGAAACAACGAAAGATTACTGCTTCATTCCTTTTATTATTTATACGCACAGAAGCACTATTTACTTCAGAATTTAGGGAATTGGCTCTGATTTTTCCATAAGCAGTTGTGGTATGTAACGAAAGATAGAACTCTACTTTGGTGGCATGGGAGCGAGAATTGCACTTAAAATTATAGTCATAATCCATTAGAGAGTAAGTGACCTACAAAACTCATCTTGTAGACCCTTTTGACACTGAATCATGTTCATGATATCAGCCTGATCTGGATATCAGACATCAGTCATTCATATCGTACATAACCTACCGATATGCATTTATTTTGAAACGCGAAACCCATGTCACCATCAAACTTTAATACACTGTTCCTCTCTGTACAGTTCTTAGTAATCATTGATTAAGTATCTATTAATATGTTTACTGGTATCTTCAGTGTTCTAATCGTTTGAAATTGTCTCAATTATTCTATTGGAAATAACGGCTCGTTATTGATTGAAATTACCCAAATAACTTCAGCTGAATTCGCAATATGCCTCCAATATCTAGTGTCTTATTATTCAGTAGTTTAATAGATCGATGAATGTAAAATTATTACTAATACTCCAATCTCCCATACAACACTGGCGAACACTAAAGTATTCATAAACTATGATTTAGTGCATCCTTGAAAATGAGCCATCTAAGATACAAGTTTCAGAGTGACAAGTCCAACTATACGCTCTGCCCGAAAATTTAAAATAACTATCATTTTAAGCTGATGTGGCTTGAACTTTCGGAACATAAAGCATTTGTCTATATCTAACTTATTTCGTTTCAGTAGTCTGGATCTCATAGAAATATGTAGTGTCCGTTATTATGAAGTCACAAATACTTTCTTGAAGTGTGATAAATTTTAAACCAAACATTCCTGCCATTTGTCAATCTCACTTGATACTAGCACAAAATACGATGCCACTTTATTCGATTTATATCTTCTGTATCTGTCTTAAGTTATACCTCAATAGTTTAACACTGACATTGATCCGCCTTTTTACAAGCTTTTTTCAAATTTTTCTCTCTGACTCTTTGCTCAGAATACTTGTTCCTATTATTCACAAGGATGGAGACCTGGCCGTCAAGAAGCCCCACTTAATCCTGATCATAACTACTTTTTATTAGCAGATAATGGAACATCTGGAAAATTTGGTGGGGAGCTGGGTCTTCGTCGACGTCTAGAACAGTATCTCGCTCAACAACCAATTGATATGCGACGTTATGGTAAGTTTACTTGCATTATATGAAGTTAAACATATTATTTTGAACATTATGTTAAGTGATAACTCCCGATTTAAAAATGCGCTGATTTTCACATTTCTAGTTAAGCGAAACTTTCAGGATATCTTGTTTAATGATATGGTAATATCTAATACTCATTGATTAATTTTATCGAAACAAAATCTTAGAAATTAATACTTCCCCTTTAAAATGAATTCTTTATAATCCTTTCTTTTTTGTGTATATTACTCCATTAAATTATTTTGCTTCAGGAGGACTGATACGAGCACGTACATTGAATGTAGATGAAACAGGTGAAGTTACTGATATAAAAACGCGTTTTATTGATCATGGATATACAGGGATGGTAAAAAATCGTTTTCGACATCTTCTACAGGGCAAGTATCTTAACTGTGATAGATTTAAACGTATCCTATTTTTTTCACTTTAAGCACTTAATCGCAATCCTAAAGTTTGCTTAGATTAGGCACTATTTTGTCACAAAAAAACCTTATTCACATTACCTATTCACAGTTTCTAAATAAGTTTGTTGTTCTTGTAACCTCTACTCACTTGACATAATTGTATTTCAGTGTTTTTGATCTTTTGATTGGTGAGGTTTCGTAAATTACAATTTACATTAATTTTACAGTATTAATCATTCAGGGACTGGATAAAGTTCCTAATTTACAAGTTGATAAATTAAAAACTATCTGATTGAGTTATTTATAGAAAAATAGAGAAATGTGACTAACTTTATAAGTTTTTCCTATGATAACTTACCGTTTCACACACTTTTTCTGTGACATGATTTACTATTACTGTTTTACTGACTTCTAACGCATAAGTTATGAGTTCGAACCCCATTACGCCCACTTAGACTGAGTCAAGAGGGTATTATAACCACCCTTCGTACTAATGACAGTGCAGTTCAAAGATAAAATACAAAACCATACTTGGTTACTAAACAATATATAATCATTTCATATTTTATATCAAATAATTTCAGTTAAACTAGATAGTCACTTATAGTACAATTGATGATAATTCTTATTATTATTTGAATACGATGTCACTCTATTGAGTGTTACGTATATTTCTGCCAAGTGGTAAATTGTCAGCTTAGCCTTTTAAGCACTATCTCACTATGAAATAGGCTTTTAAGTTTCGATGATCATCAGTTGATCCACTGTTAACCACTGTTAATACAAATTCTACAATACGATTACCGATTCAAAACATGGTTAAAGAGTTTACTGCTAAAGAAAGTAATTTTCAAAAGATTTATTAAGCTGGTTTATAAAAAGTCTGGCTTTAATGACCATAATTTTGCACACTGTGTACTTTACCGACTGTCGTTAGCCAAAGTATTTTTTTAAAGCATGAGAAAGTAAGTAACTTTAGGATATTTCACTTTGTAGTGATATCTGAAGTCGAAACACAATATCATACTTCTGTAGATTCTCACTTCAAAATGATTTATTCGCTTGAAATTTATTGAGATATTCAAAGCAAAATTTATTTTACGAAACTGATTACTATTATTGTTTATGCAATCACGTTGTAGTTTGTTATTTTTAAAGCCAACACTAAATATCATTCCATTTCACTAAATATTATATCTTCATTTTGAAATTTCTTAATTCTGGTACACTAAATTAATGCATTTCGCTTTCCACATTTCCTTTTTCCGAAAACTTGAGATAAGGAAAAACATGAAACACAAAATGTTGTTTAATTAAATCTTATTTTTGTTATAAATTGATTTCAGTTAGGGTACTACTGACTGAGTAATTACTTTATGTCAGCATGAAATTCCTCAATACTGTGCGCTTAGAATTTCGTTTTCAATCAATGTCAAGACCTTCAGGTCTAGCGGCTAACACAACAATTAAAGACATTGGATCAGCGTCCAATAGTATAATTCTAACTTCAATAAGTTTGTGATCGAACACGATGATCATCCAATGCCACTGATGATTACCGTTTCCTCACCGTAATTTCTCAATTGTAGCAGTCTTAAATCACTAGAACCTCAAGAACATCTTTAAGTATGTTACTGGTGAACTGAGTGTTATAGTCCAGTTGAAGAGGTTCTGTGAAGATTAGTTTAATTTTTCGGCCTTATTCGTTACTGAGACAAAATATCTGTTTAGTGTTCCCAGATTTTCAATAATATTTTAACTAATATTAACTCACGATGAATGCAACCTACATTCACAATTTCCCCTTTACACAGCCAATACAGTTTGATTACTTTTGCTGTCCCACGTTTGTATTTACGTCGTTTAAGATTACTTGATAATACCTAGTGTTATTAAAGCACCATTAGTTTGATAAAGATATAGAAATAATTAAAGTAGCTGAGATTAATAATTTGCTCATAAAGCAATGAATAGTCCTTCACTTAATCTACTTCTCACCTTCAGTTTTAAGTAAATTCTGAACACTTTTCATCTTTTAGAATACTACACTAAACGTTTTTGCAGTAGTGACTGTTTTTTAGTAGACAATTAACTTTATCCTACCCTTGGATATCTTCAGTTTTCTTAACTTTTTTTTTCTGGTACCACTGGACTTTGATACATAATCCATCAAGAAAGGAGATGAACTCTAATTACAGATATTTTAAATAGAATTTGGTCAAATTTAAAACTATCGAGTGAGTAGCTCTAAAGTTATATTACATCTTAAACAAAAAAACAAAACAAATTAATCAATGAAGGTATGATGTGGATACAATCAATTCGCTTTATGTTCTTTGAAAACATTTAATATTTCAAAACTATCCATTTCCCTAGTTTTAGTTCATGTAAGATTTTGATTGGACAAATTATAATCCTGATTATTTGATGATTGCCTCTTTTTTTTTCTTGATTTGTTTTATTATATTACAACTTGAACATAAACATGATTGTTAATATAGATTCAGTTTCCTGAATGTTTATCTTCATTAAATTCAAACTAAGATTTCATGGCAAATTGTAGATTTTAAGAGTAATGTTTCGTCTTATTGTCGGTAAAACTAAAAAAAAATTACAATTAAGTGCATTAAAAACAAAGTCATCAATTCTTTTGACTGCTCAAGATTCAATCAGGTGTTTGTATCACACACACCAAAAAACAACAGTTGAGTGCGTGTATAATACTGACGAAAAATCTTCAATCTGTTGGAAAAAAACACCATCTACCGGCAAACTATCTTTCGATAAATTTGTTTATTACATTACACAAAACAACACACATATGTACACCCATTATATTAGCTAGTATGCGATTCACAATTTAACCAATAATAATTCTTCTGAAATATCAATCTTATGTAAATCCTTCAAATTGATTATTATCATACTTTTCTATTAAATGATATTTTGTCTAAAAAAAATTAATAACATGTGTTAATTTGATACCTATTTAGTTACATAAACTCTGTGAGTAGTTGTTTATGGTAAACATCGCTGACTTATCTCAGTTAAACAGTCATCAAAACTATCAAGCACTAAACTACTGTTTCCTTCTACTACCAAACTCTTCAATAGTACACATCCATCACATCACCACAAGTCGAACTCACGACCTGTTCGACTTGCAGCAATCTCTCAATCCTTAGACTACTGAATAGACATCCAATGACTTACAAGTCTAGTTCCAATCAATTCGTGATGTTGTTCAACCATCTTGCATTGACATTGATGGGTGACTGTCACACACTCGACCCATTTGGATCATATATGTCATTATTTCTCATTACAACTCTGAGAGGCACTTCTCGAAACTAGTCACCAGTAGGCACATAATTATTAGTACTGTAAGTTGTATGTGGAGATTGTTGCACTTTATAATTTAATTCACAGGTTGATCAGCTGCCTTCACTCTCCCTCCTTGAAATAATGATTATTCAGTTATAAATAGAAAAGATTATTTAGTTATTATCCCTAGCTAGACGAAGTAGGTCCGTGAATAAGCTTGAAAGTCAACCACCAAGAGTTTGTTTCATGGCTTTGAATTTAAGTGAACCTATGTGGATTATTGTATTTCCTACAACTCTACACCAGTGTCCAGCGTGAACTGTTTAGGAGGATTTCGCGTTTCATAAAAGGCTAAGACGGATTGAAACTTTTTTTCAGAATTTTAAAAAATATAGTAATTTATTTTTAATAAAGATCCTGTAATTTATGATTAATAGTAGTTCAAGTCACTGTTCGAAGCGAATATGAGCACTTGTTTGTTTGATGAAGTTTCCTTTGAAAATAATAGTGCAGCCTAAATTATTATTTAATGATGAATTTAACTTTACAGCATAAGTTACATTTACATGTTTTTATTGAGTTAAAACAAATCTATTCAGTGTTATATTTGTATTCATCTTCGCTTTGATTTTGGTGAGAGCAATTTTATTTGTATCTGTACACACTATTTTTGTTTCATAAATTCTTTTTTATAATTTTTTCATTCATAATCGTGTACTAATTCTTGTGCACAGTTTTTTTTCTTGCTCAGTTCATCTTGTGTATTTTTTTAACTTCGATAAAAGTTACTCATGTTTATCTATATACCGTGTTTCTCTTAAAATAGGTGGATCCAAGTCTCGTGTTCCAATTGTTGGTGTACTATTGGAAGGTGGAACACAAACATTTCGTACTGTATTTGAGTTAGTAACAGGTCGAAATCCAGTGCCAATTGTTGTTTGTGATGGTAGCGGTCGTGCAGCAGATCTTTTAGCATTTATGCATCGTTATGCAAACGAAGATGGGTAATCTAAACTTCACTTTCTTTTATTTCTATTAAACACACCAAGTTAAATCTAAATAACTATTCAAAAAATGATTAGATGGGTATAGTGATACAAATTAATCACCTCAGATTTTAACAACCGAAAAACGTAAAGTATAGGGGCTTATGGGATTATTGAATTTCATAGCTCACATCATGGACTGTCCCTAGTTAGACAACAAATGAGAACCATGGGGCAATTGACAGATGTTTTATCCTCGTATAGGACTCGGCAATATCACTAATAATAATTATGCACATACTGGTGACTCGTTTCGAGAAGTACCTCTCAGAGTTGTAATGAGAAATGATGACATGTATGATCCAAATGGGTCGAGTGTGTGACAGTCACCCATCAATGTCAATGCAAGATGGTTGAACAACATCACGAATTGATTGGAACTAGACTTGTAAGTCATTGGATGTCTATTCAGTAGTCTAAGGATTGAGAGATTGCTGCAAGTCGTACAGGTCGTGAGTTCGACTTGTGGTGATGTGATGAATGTGTACTATTGAAGAGTTTGGTAGTAGAAGGAAACAGTTGTTTAGTGCTTGATAGTTTCGATGATTGTTTAACTAATATAAATCAATGATGTAACTTATAAAAGTAGACGTGTTTGATGCACTTTAGAGAAACGAAATCAAATGTATGAAGGGGCTTTTATTCACATGTATCTTATTTACTAAATCCAGGTTCATATCCTAGGTTTTGAGCTGTATTCATTTTTTATGAAATCTCTTGTTACTTTCTGGTTGTCTGAAGCGAGAAAAATGAAATACATTTTGAACCTTCAAACCATTTGATCGTAGCCGATTGCTTCAACCACTAAGCAAACAAATTTAGAATATTGATCTCAGTTATTTTCAGACAAATGGATAACTAGTCACAAATGATAACTCACCAATTATTTTATTTATTATTACTGTATATCATGTACATAAATATAAATTTCTTGTGATTCCTTTCACATAGCGTTTTAAATCTCTAAGTGATATTGTTCCATCTACCGCTAAAAAATTCTCTTTGAAAAACACTCCCGAACCAAAAGTATTCTAATTTTAAGTTTAATTACTGTTATAACTACGTCTTTATTGCTAATGATCTCACATTCATGAATGGGAAATTTCTGTTGCACTGAATATAAAATTTATTACTATACTATACTATGTTCAATGTTGCTAACTCACTTTCGTATTTTTTATCCAAGATATATGTTTTACTGCGTTGATATAAATCATCTTGCTATTATAATCAAATGTTATGTAGGACCATTACTACATACTATCAAATTGCATGTACTTAGTTTCCTAATTTAAATGCTCTAAATCAATCTGCAAGTACATTATGTTACAGAACTTCGAGTAAACCAGTCTCACTTCCAACAAAATACTTCCGTTTTTGCTACACACTTATATTATCCTCATTTTTGTTATTTTAAAGCCCCTTTGAAACCTACAGACTCCAAGATTTGTTAGTATCCATGTCGCTTCAGAATTTCCTAGAATCATATTCATAGACGATTTTCAAAAATTTGATTCATCACTAGTTTTCCGGATCTTCAAATGGAAAGTTGTGTTAAAAAGTCATATCTGCTATTATATCTGTTGACTATGCTTAGTTTTTGTGTTTACCTTCGTCCACTGTTGGATCATCATAGTGTCTAAACTAGACATCCTTAAACACCTTACTTCTTCTTTGAATTCGTTAATTTATATCTGCTCTACCCTAATCTTAATTTACATATTTATCTTTCCCAATTCACATGAACTTCTTATCATAAATGCCCTAATAAAATTTGTCTTTTATTACAACTTTTCTGTCTTATTCGCATGATTTATTTTATTATCATTATTATTATATTGGTCATAATTTGACATCTTACAATGAAACATTCTAATATTTTATAAACTATCGAATTTACAAATGACATGTTGAAAGTATTTATACCGTAACAAATGCAAACATTTATCATTTTTTTGATACATACTAATGTCTCATTGATTACCATGCTGTATTCTAGCAATTGTAAAATAACAGAATAATTATGATGTTACAAGTAGAGAGCCTAATAATGTAGTTATTAAAAACAGTTGTTCGCTTAAATATTCTTTGTTTTTGAATACTTCATTAAGGTTCATTAATCATTAAATTGTCTATTATAAATTCAATATTTAAATGATGAAGTAGTAAACTGCTGCTTTATCCAGTGCTTCTTTGTTTTCAATTATTTTCTTATTTTTATGTTAGTTTTTCAGTAAACCTCACTTTATATTTAATAATATGCCCAAATCCTAATCATTATTTTTTTTGTATTTTTTTTCCATTGTCCAATCCAGAGATCTTAGTACACAATTACGTGATCAAATGGTAGCAAATATATCTAGAACTTTTCAAATTAGACGTTTCGAAGCTGAAGGATTGTACAGTGAACTGAAATTATGCATGAAACGTAGACATTTAGTAAGTTAAATTAATTTAATATCTATCTTAAATGTTGTTTATATATTTTTGTTGCTGTCCTTAAATCTATTTTATTCTTGGTATGATAAAAGTTGTATTATTTCCCCATGGAGGATAAATTTCCAAATAAGTTCAATTCTGATTGGTTAAAATAATTAGAACCTATGAAATATGCATAATTATTTCTTTGTTACATAAATCTTTGTATTAAAAAAGGTAAGAAATTTGTATATCGAATCAGTAAAAAATCCTTAGATAAATTCGAAGATAAGCAGTTTGTTTTTTTACTATTACACGGCTATAAATCATAGTCTGTGAAAATTCAGAAGCAGATGTATTACGATGGTGCAACCATATTCATTATTTTATCATCAAATATTTCTTGAGTTTTGATAATATATCATACTTTTCATTTTACATATATTATTTATCATTTTTGAACTGTCATATGTTTCCACATCGTATTAACTCATCTGGTTAATGTCACCGTAGTGTGCTGATGTATAATAGTGATAAATAGAGTTGATACACTTACATCGTTTATGTCAAAGTTACTGACATTACATCTTGATTAGTTTGCGGTATATACTGTCTTATTTTGAATAATCGATTTTGATTTCAGGATGGATTTTCATATTTAGTTTTTTTTTCTCCAACATTATTCAGAAGTATTCTTCATAACTAACCGAACTTACTTATTGTGAATAGTCAGACATTATAAACACAGATATCTTGCGAGTCTCGATAAAATTATCGAGGTAACTTGTTTTAACGTAGTTGTATCTTTTGTTGTTAAATACATCGAATCAAATTGTACATTCTTACATAGGCAAGCAACTAATTAGTCCTTTACTAAGTTTAGTTAGATATTATAACTAAACAACAGGTTCATTTGTATTGATTGTGGTTTCCTGGACTCAGTGGTTCAGTAAATTATCCGATGGCTTTTAAAGTGAACGGTACTGCGTTCAAGGCCTGCAGCGAACATCAACTCTGGAATCATGGTACATCGAGCTTACGAGTTTCGAATAGGATGAAACGCATGTTCTTCATTTCACTGCTAGCCACCATCCATCTCTGCTTATAAACGACTGAATTCATGTTTAAAAAACTCAATCAGTGTGTATTCAACCGAGATGTATAAGTTTGTTTAATGTTTTCAGTTATGGTTTGCCATCATAAGCCAAAAGCGGTATATGATAATCTTTTTTTCAATAATCAGTTGTGAAGATATCAACTGGAGTAGTTATCAAACAAATTTAAAAATCTATCGAAAAACGCCGATGAACAATGGATCACTTATTAGTCTGCCTGATGTGTAGCAGGACAATAACTTCCTAACCAACTACTTGTGTCCCCATGATTCTTCTGCACTTGAGCTGCGGATGATGGAAAGTCTGAATTAATAACAGAAGTTTTGTTTCAATGTTTATTTGTGTTCAGAAGACAAGAATGTTTATAAGTGTATGAATGGTCTTGGTAACCTTCTAGAAGCACATCAGACTTAACAACAGACTAAATAATTATCCGATCAAGTCTGATAATGCAACCCTCGGATGCTGTGGTTTACAGACCTTCCCTAGCTTTTGAAAACGTTTTAGAAGAATCCTCATTGACTAATTACACGATAATTTCGCGAACAGTCAAAATAATAGTTATTGTTTGTTTATCCTCCCTTTTCCACATAAACCATTTACTCCACGTGATAATCAGATATAATGTTGTAACCAAGAACACACATGGAGAATCTCTCCTTAAAATATGAGAATCATGCACTGAACATTTCATGTGCGTATTTGCATTATTTTTCGTTTATATTCTGTATGATTCTTCCAGTCCACAATTTTTTTCTCCATTTGTTCTCTTCAACTCAATCTTCTTAGCCTTCTGCTGTCGGTTTTTCCACTTCCGATTGATGTCGCATACTACTTACGTCTTTCCATTTAAGTAGCATACACAACAAAAAGATCATTAAATTATATGTCATTGTAAAGATAAATTTTGAAGTGCTATTGTTTCAACATTTAAAACACTCAACTTCTAACGACAGAGTTGTAATTTTCAACCTCGGTTTTACCCATATTATGTTAGATGTTCTGTCAGATAGCATCAATATCTCCCTACATGCAGAGTAATAATATATAAGGGGGTATTTATGTATTACAATAATACATTTAATTTTCATAAACCCATAATCCATTTAAAAGTACCTTTATTGTTTTTTTTGTAAAATTAAATTCGAATGGAAAATATGTCATTATTTGACCATAATTTCATAAAATGTACTTTCAAAAAGTGAATAAATTAGTTAATCAGTTATAAACATTTGTTATTGTTATTATTTGTAAATTTATCTCATCATTATCATGATAAACAAAACAAATAAAACATAATTAGTGATTATTTGTACAATTAAACTTTATATAATTAGTATACAGTGAACAAAGACTTAGGTGGGAAGAATCAATTTATTGTTTAATGCAATATGACAGAATATCTTCATCAATTATAAAAAACCTGCCTGAACACCAATTACCACGATGTGCAATGCTAAGCAGTGTTGGAGATGGCTAGAATAAAGTTAGGGGCGGCCAAACCAAAACGTGGCATCAGTGCTTGAAGTCACTAACTTCTAGTCTGAGCCATGTTTGTAGATGCAGACTACTTGGTTGGGGTCCGCGTGACTATCGTAACCAATGGAGGAGATTCTGAGTGATATGGCTCAGAATCGATCACAATGGCGTCGGTGTATACACTCTCTGTCTTCCCTTAAACTAAGAGATTAAAATCACTTCATATCTTTCTTTCTACGAACTAATTCTTTCTTCGTGTACTATATCCTTATTGCAATCTTTCTTTTACATATTACCACCTTTGACTTAACTACTTTTATGAATCTGGTGTCCATCTTGTTGTGTTAATGAGGTATGGTAACTAGGACCGATGCATATATTTGCCTGGTCCTACGTTGTAGCTGACTGACTCATTTGCACATCATTCATCATTTGTCTCTTACAAACTTTATCGTTCCTTCATTCTTGTTTTTATTGCAATTCCTCTCTGTTTACAATTCTGTTCTCTTCAATTCAATCTCAATCTTCTATTGAGAATGCATTACATTTGTGTTTGGTTTTACGTACTACTTATATCTGTCAACATAAGTAACATGCACTACATGTAAATTTTGTCAATTTCTAATCAATACCATAAATTTATTTTGACTTTTTTTTCGAATTAATTAATAAAAAGTTGAAAAAAAAAGATTTAAAAAATCCATAAAAATCAGAATAATAATGAGTGACGTAGATTTTTTTTATCTGTAAATTAATTTTGTTTATTCTTTATTAATTTATTTTAGTGAACGAAATAAAAAAATTTTAAAAAAATATCTGGATATGTATGAATTAAATTAAATTTTACAATTTACAATCACTAAGCAATGGAATCAAACCTTATTCCATCTACTTCATTTTAAACAACTAGTTAGTATCATCAGCCCTACAACTAACAATATGGTAAAAATTTCTAAAATCTCCACAAAACACATTCTAATAATAATATTCACCTGATCACTAGTGACTGACTTCAGGAGACACTTCTGAAGTTCTAGTGAGAAGTCGTTACCAGTGGAGTTCAACCAGGTCTGTTGTGAGATAGGAACTCACTGAAGACAATGGTGTACGGTAGCGCAACTTCGTGGATTGGTTGAAGTTAGACATTAACACCGTTGGATGCCGGCTCAGTGGTCTAATGGTTAAGTGCTCGCGCGCGCAGCCAGTAGGTCCTGGGTTCGGGCTCCGAGTGGTGCGGGGTCGTGGATGCGCACTGCTGAGGAGTCCCATACTAGGACGAAACGGCCGTCCAGTGCTTCCAGGTTTTCAATGGTGGTCTAGCTTCAACTGACTCATGATTTCAATCTGTTAAAGCTAAATACCACTGATCTATATCAGAGAAATGAATAGATAATAAAAATGAATAGAATGAATATACTTTATATATAAACAAATGTTAATAAAGCAATAAAATCTTGACCAAATTCTTTAACATCTCATCGTAAATATCTTTTTGATTTTATTATTCAAATAAAACTAAGTAATTTACTTTGATATTTTCATTTTGTTTTTAAATGATCAATCAAAATTACAATTTTATATGCAGCAACTATTCACGAAACCAATTTTATAGAAGAAAAAAAAATTACCGAAAGTGATAGATATAACACATATTATTGATTATGAATAACCTCAGTTTATACATAACCACAAATATGTTTAAGCATTCGATATTATCTTTGATGAATTAAAATTGTAAACCTTTAAGTTAGTAGATTACAATTTCTACGTTTGAAATTTACTCAGTACATAATGTATTACCTGAAAAGGTTTTTTGTTTGATTCAATTCCATGTTAAATTATAAGTACTCAATGTTTCACCAGTTATAATGTTAACTTATTATGAAAATTATTTTTTAAATGTATTACCAAACAATTGACTGACTTACTTTATGAATTTCATTTATTTCAAGCTTCATTTTATTTTCTCTAAATTATTTAAATATATTTGTCAATGTATATTATCAATGTAAATTTGTTTAAAATGTCACTTGACTTAAACAATTTTATCATAGGCCTATTCAAAATGTATGGGTAGATATTGTCAATGAATTAATTCATTTAGAGATTACATTATTGCATAAGAAAAACAACAACAACTTAATAGTGAGTCAATTAATCATTTATATATTTCCATTCATTAAATTCACTTTATAGTCAATAAATAAAAGCCGATACATTTATGATATGCCGTTAATTATCACAGTCATATATTTTACATTCATTCTTACTTCTCATTATATCAAACCTTACATGGTAGATAAACTTCCCTATTCCATTAGTGTTATCATCTGTTACTTAAAAAGTTAGCACTTCTACTAGTTATTATTATTAAAATCAGAAAACCCATACAGAAATTAATTTTGATGATAGTTTTGGCCATTGACT